CTTTAGATTTTTTTTTTTTTTTTTTTGTACCAGGGATCAAACTTAGGACCTTGTGCTTGCCAGGCAGGCTCTGTGCCACTGAGCTAAATCCCAGGCCCTCAGATCTTTTTCATAGAAACTCAGTGCCACTTCCTTAGTAACTACGTGGTTTAGAGGAACAAGATGAAAAGGGGAAAATGCAGAAGAAAACAACTCCTGATAGAGGAGATGGAAGAGTTCGAATATTATTGCCCAAGACCGGGAGGAAATTATTGATGCAGATAAGATTGTCAGTCAGCAGCACATGTGTTAGGTGGATGTAGGTGGAGAAAAGGAGGGAGATGGTGTCAAAGTAACCCTGCACCAAGACCTCATAGCTGTGAGGGTGACAAGGAGCCCTGCAGTGACAGCCTCCATCTATCCAAGGATCACTGATAGCCTTGCTGCTGGGGGAGGAAGGAGACGTTCAGGTCTCAGCCGAGCAGAGCACCCTGTGGCTCGGATGTGTTCTCCCTGTCTGCCTAACGGGAGTGGATCGGGCCTCCAGCCACGCCCTCCAGTGCAGATGCTCCCCAGAACCCATGGGGCAGCGTCCTAATAAACCCAGCACACCCTGAAAATATCCCAAGTCAAAAATGCAGTAAGCAAGGTATGATGGAGGGTCAGCCTTACACAGCGAGGCCCTGTCTCAAAACAAAACAACAGAAGTATTGGAAGCCAGGTGTGGTAGCACACTCCTGTAACCCAGCACCTGGGAGGTTAAAACAAGAGGATCAAGAGTTAAAGGCCAAGAGGGGCTGGGGATTTAGCTCAGTGGTTCCACCACAAGCGAAAGGACCTGAGTTCAATCCCTGGTACAAAAAAAAAAAAAAAAAAAAAAAAAAAAAAAAAAAAAAAAAAAAAACGAGTTAAAGGCCAGCCAGGGCAACTTTGTGACTTAGTGAGACCCTTCCTCAAAATTTAAAAAGACAAGGTTGAGGCGGGGAAGCTGGAGGTGTAGCTCAGTACAAAAGCCAGGATTAAATTCCTAGTACTACAGGAAAAGGGGGGAAAAAAGATTGTGACAGTGTAAAGTATAGCTGAAGGCCCTGACCAGATGTAGTGTGGGCAAACAGTTTTGCCCTTGAAGACATTCTGGAGTCATCTAGGGGAATTTGGTTTGATTTGTTTGTTTGTTTGTTTTGGTACCGGGGATCCAACTTGGAACCTTGTGCTTGTGAGGCAGGCAGCAGGCACCACTGAGCTAAATCCCTGGCCCTTGGGGTTTTTTTTTTTTTGAGACAGAGTCTCCAAATGTAGTTCAGATTGGCCTTGAACTCACTGTGTAGTGCAGGTTGTCCTCAAACTTGCAGCGGTCTTCCTGCTTCAGCCTCCCAAGTGTTGGGATTACAGGTTGTACCCCCACGCCAGGCCCTGGGGGAATTCTAATATGAGGAATGTGAGATGAACATTTACAGGAATGGGGAGGTGGAAATCATTGCCTGACAATTATCAGTAGTAGCACTTCATTGCCTTTGTCCCTTGGAGCTGCTATAACAAAAATCATTAAGCTTGGTAATTTATAACAACCAACACTTGCCACAATCAACCATCACAAGGCACTAATCTGATTTTATGAGGGTGGATCTGTCACGGCTCAGTCACTTCCCAAAGGCCCCACCTCTTTTTCTTCCCCCAGTACCCAGGAAAAAACCCCAGGGCCTTCGCTTTGAGTGACATCTCAGCTCTTTTTTATTATATTTTATTTTGAGACAGGATCTCACTAAATCACTACATTGCCCAGACTGCAATCTTGCAATCCTCCTGCCTCAGCCTCCTAAAGTGCTAGGATTACAAGTTTGCACCACCATGCCTGACTTACGTTATTTATTTATTTATTTATTTATTTATGTATTTATTTTTGAGACAGGGTCTCACTGTGTAGTTGAGATTGACCTGGAATTCACTATGTAGCCCAGGCTAGTCCTGAACTCCCAGCAATCCTCCTGCCTCAGCCTCCCGAGTGCTGGGATTACAGGCATGCGCCACCATGCCTGGTTTATGTTATTTTTAGAATGTATTTTATATATTAAAGAAGTTATAGGTATGATATAAAGAACTTTTTTTTTAATGTGCTGGGGTAAAACCCAGAGCCTCACCTATGTTAGGTAAAAACTCTACCCCTGAGCTACAACCCCAGCCCTAAAGGAACCCCTGCCCAAAAAATTTAGGAGTATATTTGCAACTTGATACCCTATGAATATTACTCCTATACAATTCTTTTCTCTTTCTTTCTTTCTTTCTTTTTCTTTTTGGTACTGGGAATCACACTCAGGACCTTGCACTTGTCAGGCAGGTACAGCACCACTGAGCTAAATCCCCGGCCCGTACCCCTACACAATTCTTAAATGTGTGTTTTCTAAAATAAGGACATATTCCTACATATTTACCATGCAACCATCAAAATCAAAGCATTCTCATTGATTCAGTAACCTCGAGTCCAGAAGGGGCCTGTGCCTTCCTTGGAGAAGGCTGCTCGAGAGGCGGCCCCTGGGCTGCCTCCGGGAGCCTGTGCTCTGGGTGCTCCCCACTGTTTCCTCTGCCAGGCAGAGGGTGCCCTCAGACCAGAGCCCGTGAACACCATGAGTCCAGAGTCTGAGAAGCATCCCTGGATGTCATGCACGTGTTACTGCCATGCAAGCAGAGGGCAAAGGACCTGTGAGTGATTCCTCCAGCTCCGCTTGCTTCTAAGGACCCAATTGTGTGTCCTTCCTGCACCGTCAAAATAAATGTCAGTAAATAAATGTGAGTAGAACTATGGACTCGGTGCCATGAGTTCTGACAAACAGGTGAACATGAGGATGATTTGGGGTGAAAGCACAACACACACGCACACACAGTAGTGGCAGCAGTGGGACTTGCTAGAAAGAGCCTGACTAAAACATGCCTGTATCGGGGAGAAAGGGAGATGGGGAAGTGAGATGACACAATTCAGGTGCCTGAGTGGTGTCCGCCTGAGAAGAAGCCCAGAGAAGCCAGGCACGGCGCCAAACACCTGTGATCCCAACACTCTGAGAGGCTAAGGCAGGACGATGACAAGTTTGATCCCAGTCTGAGCAACGTATCCACTTAGTTGTAGTCTCAAAATAAAAACAGAAAAAATGGCTGAAGATGTGTGAAGGCCCTTCTGTGTGAAGGCCCTGGGTTCAATCTGAGGTACAAAACAACAACAACAACAAAACCACTTTGTAACTGCTTTCTACCCTGTGGGAGAAGAAAGAGTTCATGTCCCAAATAAGTTTAAGGTAAACTAACTTTAAAAGGTTGCACTGCTGTGTTCTCCAGTTGAGAAAGAAAATGGTTAAGTCCATTTCCAATGCTGACTCAAAACTTCAGACAAGCCAGACAGGAAAAAGAAGGTGTGGGGACATGTACAGGAGGTAGCTCCTCAGCCTGGAGCTGCTGCTGCCCACCTTTGTCCCCGCTGTGGTCTCTTGACAGCTGTGTGAACCCTGCAAGAACTGATTCTCTGCTGGAGGTTGCAGTAAACCTGCAGCGAGGGGAACAAGTAACAGGGAAAGCTGCTTTGGGACCGGGGCTGTGGCTCAGGCGGGAACACTTGCCTGGCTGCGTTTGATGCGTACGTTTGAGATCATGTGATCAGAGAACGCTGGAAAAAGAATTGTGTGTGTACAGCAACCCCCTTGTTTTTTGCCCTCAACAAGAACCCTGGTATTTGAATACTTTGAATGTTAGAAACAAGTACAAGTCTCTACAAGTGATGGTTTTTACTATGGTTTGGACCATTGGACCCTTGGAGGGGTAGAAAACCACACAAAGAGATGCGGTCTCAGGTAGAAATGCGCTTTGGGAGTTTTGAAAAGCAATTTGTAGTTGGATGATAAGCCCTTGTCAAAATCAAATCCCTGACCCTTCGAGGATACTGATTTTCCAGGCTGGTGAGCATGTTTTTTTATATATCTGAAAAAGTATTTTGCCTTTGTTTGATTTGCTTTTTTCATTTCTTTGGGTAGACTTTATTCTTTGCAGCACTTCTGGTATACTGCAAAACGGAGCGGAAGGCACAGAGTTCCCTTATGCCTGTGCCATACACCCCTCCTGCTCTCCCACGCCCCTCCAGCCTGGGGCATTCGGTACCCTGAGACCTGCCCTGCCACTTCCTTGTCACCCTCAGTCCGTAGTTTGTGTTAGGGTTCACTCTCAGTGTCTTCCATTCGCTGGGTCTTAGCACAGCCGTCATGATGCATGTCCACCATTACCATCAGGGGAAAACAGTTTCACTGCCTACAAATCTTCTCTGTGCCTCCTGTTCATTCCTCTTTCCCCCGGCCCTCGACAGCCACTGATTATTTTACTGTTGACATACAAGGGGTGATCAAAATATGCAAAGAATTTTGCATTTAAGACTCCTTTGTGTCTTTTTGTGGCTTGATAATTCATTTTGTTTAGTGCTAAGTAATGTTCCACCGCCTGCATCTACCAGTTTATTCATTCCCCTACTGAGGACATCCGGATTGCTTCGCGCAATTAGGAATAAAGCTGCTGCAGACAAGCAAGCGTAGGTTTTTGTGTGGACACAATTGCTCGACTCCCTCAGGGAAATACTAAGGAGCGTGGTCCCTGGCTCATGCAGTGAGAGTATCGTGAGAAACCGCCAAACTGTTTTCCTCAGTGACTCTACCGTTTGGCATCCCCAGCAGCCAGAAATGTGAGTCCTGTTGGTCTACACCTTCACTGGCATTTAGCGTGGCCAGTGTCTTGGACTTGGTGTGGGACCTGGCTGAGCTAAAGTGACTCCGTGCTGGCCTGCTAATAGGCCAGAGACTGCTTCCCCTCTCCTTCCCAAACATCAAGAAAGAGCTGCTCAAACTACAAACAAACTTTCATATGCTAATTGCTAACTTGGTTAACAGCCCACCC